ACACCCCCACACACCCACACACACCCACACACACCCACACACACCCACACACCCCCACACCCCCCCCCACACACCCACACACCCACACACCCTAGGCTCCTACAAATCCAGGAGCGCCTTCTAATCCTGCGCACGCAGCTCAGCTGGAGGCAGCCAAGAGGTATCACAGTGAGGCTCCATACACCTTGCCTTCAATTTTCTGACCATGAAGCAGACAGCGGGACATTTGCCACACACACACCCACAAGACGTAATGTGTTGAAATGGTCAAATCCCTGAGGCGTGTTTAATTGCCTCCGGCAAGCCCGCCGGCCATAGCCAGTTCTATCATTTGTATCGTAGAGCAAGGGGAAATTCTTTTCACAAGACTTCGAAGTTCTTTGTTTTCTTTTGTAGGGCCAGGAAAGGAAAAGATACACTGACTGACTTCGAGGTTCTGCGATTTTTTGTCGGGCAGAGATGCTAAGTCGTATTTGCTAAACCGAAGTTGCTGAGCCGTAGCTGCTGAACCGGAGGAAGTGGCTGAACCGGACTTTGTCCCTTCTAAAGATCCTTCCTTGTGACTATAAAATGTCCGTCCAACCTTGAAGGCTCTGAAGCCCCACAACGTGGGTCATAATCAAAATTATGATCCCTGGAAAAAATCCAAACTTTTCCCAGGTTTGCTCGTCCACTGGTACCAAATACATTCCAGCAAACCAGACCGAAAACGCAGCAAGAATCCTGAAGTGGCAAATCAAAGCAAACATCTCCCCCTTTGCCCTATAAAGCAAATGATGGAAATTCAAGTCAATATTTCAACTTTATTTCTCCCCTTTGCCCTACAAAACAAATCATAGAATTTTGTTTGAAGTCACTTTTAAATTTCCCCGTCCTTGCCCTACAAAACAGAACAAAGCACTTCGAAGTCGCTTTTATGAAATTTGCTTTCCCATTTACCTTAGAAAACGAATAGTAGAATTTCGAAGTGATTTTTTAACTTCGCTCCTTCCTTCTCCACAAAACAAATGAATGTCATTCAGAGCCATTTTGAAAATTTCCCTCCCTCTGCGGGTTGTTTCTTTTCTTCAGTTTAGTCCTTACTTTAAATTGATTCAAAGCACACTTCTGTGATGAAAATGCGCGCTCGTCGCTGTCGCTGGGCTCCAGCCACTTACTCCGTTTGATCCTGACTTCTTTGATCGAAGCTAAGTTGCCTGATCCTCAGCTAGTGTTTGGTCAGGGAACATTCGGGAATGTGCAGATCTTTGTTTTGATCCATTGCCGCATATTTAAATTTGATGGTGATGATTTTCTTCTAAGTATAGTTTTGTAAGTGAGGTATCATAGTTTTTGAAACCACCAACCAGTATATATATATATATTAAATCATTAATCATATAATAACCATTCATAGTAACCATTAATATTAACAGTATATGTTCCATGCGGCATGTTTCTTTTGTATTTTTAACGAACGTTTCCACACCTTCTCCAGTGGAAAAAACCGGTGTTTTGATCATTTTTTTGATCCAGGGATTCGCCATTGGCTCCGCTGCATTCGTGTCCGTGGCGTTGTACGGGGCCTTTGTTTTCCGCCTTCGTGTGAAGACTGGCGTGCCTTGACGCCAAAGTAAGGGACTCCCGCTGATTCGAAGTTCATGACACTATCAAAGTATGATTTATGAAGCATAACACACACATATATATATATACATACATTAATATAATATACATTACATATATATATATATGTATACACATTATATATATATATATTATTATAATTTATTATTTATATATATATATATATATTTGGTGTGTCATATTCATCAAAGAGTTTATAAAACAAATCAGCTGTCAAAATCCTGAGGTTAACATCTTGGAGCCAACCACCTTTGTGCTTCACTCAGCCGTCGCCGTCGTTTCGTGTCGTCGGAGGTGGCCACGGGAACGAGGCCTTCCTCATCATCGGCTGCATGATCCCGTACTGGTTTGCAGCCCTGACGATGAAGTCTGTTGGAAAGGCTGAAAGATTTGAAAAGATCTGAAAGTGGAAAAATGATGAAAGATTGGACAAATTCTCAGATGTTAACAATCTATTCACATATTGCCAATCGATTGATTGAACTTTGTTCGCAATCGTTCTACGTAAGAAACGCATGGCTGTTTGGAGACGAAAAGTGATATATTGTGATACATTGTGATACATTGTGGTTATGATGATGACGACGATGATGGTAATATGATTATGATTACTAGATATTACTAGATGATTATTAGATGACGACGATGATCACCACGATGACCACGATGACGATGATGACGATGACGATGGTTGATGACAAAGACGATGACGAAGAGGATGATCGACGATGACAATGACGATGACGATGATGACAATCATTGTATATTATTGTTTAACATGTTATCAATATGATGATTATTTTTATTGTTATTATATACTTGTATATCATTATAAGTATCATCAATACCTATCATATGTTACATTTTATTATTATATCTTACATATACATAGACATAGATGACATATTATGATACAACATACATCATATTATGTTATGATTGCCGCCTGTCCAGGCCTTTTGTAAATCTGGAGTAACAGTGCGCCAGGCAGCCGGTGAAATGGTTGCGGAAGTGAAGAGGTCGCTCAATCCTGTTCACCTTTTTGGATCTTGTGTCATTCATGGTAAGATTGTGGCTCGTGTTCCAACCATGCTGGAAATCAAATAAGACATGCCCATGATTTATACATAACCGGATTCATTGTGTGGGAGATCCAAGTCGGCTTGCCTTGAAAGCAACGTTTTTCGTCGATTGTCAGCGCAAGCGTCTGTTGTCGCAGTGTCATTTTTCGTTTCCCAAAACGGTTGAGGAACCACTGCTCAGCTGTCCCATGGCTGATCCAAGAGTGCAGGCAATTTAGCAAAGTGGACTCCAAGGGCAAGACGTTGTTGACGGGCAGCACTGAGCTGAAACCCGACAGCAAAACGTGCATCCAAATCAGTACTCAGGCGTGCCGTTTGGAGGGTCCCATGATGTCCGCCCCACGCTTGTGGACCCAGGTCTATCAACGTCTATCAAGATTGCTACATATTTTTCTTGCTCTGACATAGAACACAGCGATTTGACGGATTGTTGATCATTGTTCGAGAACTTGTGTATCCGTATGTGTTCAGATGTAAAAAGGACATTTGCTTGGTAGAGTTTGATCTGTTTGGCTGTTGCTATTCCAGCTGCGTAACGAAGTTCGACTGTACAGGGGCAAAGCATGGCAAAGCTCTTCTGGTAGGCCTCCATTCGCGAGATGGTGGCGCCAGCAAGCCTAGCAAGGAGCCGAGTCACCAAAGTACCAATGACTCTGCAGCCATTTGCAGCCTATTTCGTTTATTCAGAGCTTTCATTTTACTATCATTTCGCTTTCATTTCGCTTTCATATGTACATATATATATATATACACAATATATACAGCTTTCCTTGGCGGATACTGCGTGCAACCATAGCCCCATTGCACTCGTCTAAAAGCTTGACCGCCTCTGTGACAGCTGTGGGGTGATTTTGTCTCCTTTGGCGGCAGAACATGCGGAGGCGATAGTGAAACCAGTGGCATCAGAACCTTAAAAATCCCAAAGGTTGCTTTTGTTGGAAAAAGAGTTGACCTGGGTCATTTGTGACCTGGAGGCATTGGAAGAAAGCGTCGAAATTCCAGAATGCAAGGGTGGTCTTCGCTTCAGGTTTCACCGCAGAAATCATGTATGAAAGGATTTTAAAAAAATGATGGTTGACATGGTCTTGTGCTTCTTGTTTTTGCTAACAACGCCCATAAAGACGCGGGGTCTTTTAACATTTTTATCGTCCGATGTTTCTATAGTGGGCTAGTGGGGTGATGCTAACGTTCGTGTTCACTTGCATGTTGTCTGCAGAGTCCGTCAATCACATGCTTGGGTTGGGTATGGATATGGGTGGGGTGATGTTCACGTTCGTGTTCACTTGCACGTTGTCTGCAGAGTCCGTCAATCACGTGCTTGGGTTGGGTATGGGTATGGGTGGGGTGATGTTAACGTTTTGTTAACTTGCGCGCTTTCTACACGCTACGTCGATCACGTTCCTGGGGTTGGGTATGGGAATGGGTGGGGCGATGTTAACGTTCGTGTTAACTTGCATGCTTTCGACACACTACGTCGATCACGTTGCTTGGGTTGGGCATGGGGATGGGTGGGGTGATGTCAACATTTGTGTTAACGTGCACGCGTTCTGCACTATGTCGATCACGTTGCTTGGGGTATGGGGATGGGTGGGGTGATGTTGACATCAAAAGCCGGCCATGTTAATCAGAGCCTTTGGCAGTGGTCATGCAGATGCAACAATGGCAAATACCTTTGGACAGCTGTGCCACATGTCCTGGAGCACAGAAGGATGAGTTTAAAAGGGCCCGCGTCTTTACGGGCGGCGTTACCTTGTTTGTCTGAAAATAAGAGACCCCTAAATCGAAACTCCCTAAACAATTCTGGGGGAACATGTGCCACTGACATCTATCTACCTGTGCCATTGACATCAGCCGAGCCTTCCTTGAATGTTATGAGGCGACAGCCCAGATGCCACTTCCCCATCTTCTTTGAAGGTCGAAATGCCAGAGTTCGGGCTGTCAAAATTCTTCAGATAAGCACCCTTGGCCTTGATACTGTTCAATTTTGCAGAAGTTTGGCATGGACGCTGCCAATATGGGGACTGACAGACAGATGCATACACCTCCGTCCGCAGTTTTTGCCCAGCGGGTTTGCGCATTTTTTCATCCCCTCTTGACATGGAAGCTGTCAAAGTCACAGACTTCTTCATTGTCTCTGCCACCGAATGGTGGCCACGAAAACAAGACAACCCGACTCGCGGCAAGATCTGCAAGGCATACGAGGTCAGGCTGGTGTTCTCAAATGGAGACTCAGTCCTGGACCGTATGCACTATCTGGCAAGGGGCGCTTCGAGAAACTGTTTCTTGTTTGACAGCCTGCGCATGGTTTGCAAATGTTATGAAGCTGAAGGCAGGTACACAACTCACGAAGACGAGGCACGCGGGGCTCCAGCATGGAGAGCTGTCCTCCCGAACCACGTGCCGGAAATATTTCTTTGGAAGCAAGTGCCCACTGTCACAAACAGTGGGCGGAACGTTGTCTTGGATTGTTTGCTTACCGAAAAGATTGGTCCCTCACTGCAAGCGTCACTTCGGGAGCTCAGCTCACTGTCCCCAGAACTTCCCGTGATGAGGGCCAAAGTGCAAGCATTTTTCCTCGGCATTGTGAGCATGACGGAGAATGCGCACAGGGCAGGCCTACGCTGGGATGTTGATTTTAACTGTGGAAATGTTTGCTGGAATCCTGACAGCCAGAGCTGGTACCTGGTGGACTTGGAAGATTTCTCCCCGATGCCCACCACAAGAACCTTGAGAGCTGCATGGCTGAAGGCTGCGAAGACCAATTTGAAAATATGTGGAGACACGGTCGCGGAACAGTATTGGGCCGATCTGCTCCGGACCCACATTCAGAGCGACCACTGGTCTCCGGTCTCTGCCGAAGCATTTCGTGTCATGTTCCAGGCGGAGGAGGCAGGATACTTTGATTCGGGCAAAAGCCGGTACAGAAAGAACATCAAGCATGGCTTGAAACAGAGCATTTCTATCAATTGAGACACTTATTGGCGTTCAACCGGTATTGTCCAAGTAACAGATGCTTTGCCAGATGCTTTGCCATTTTGCGCATGTCACTCAATGCCGCGAGATCCGGCTGCAGGTCGCAGCCTCTGGATCTGGGAGGCCTGCAGGGGACTTGCCGTTCTGGCCGGCCACTGCTCCCTCCTCAGGGATAGAGGCGCATGTCACGACACAATTTCTTATTGTGCCCGGGGATTTAAGCCTCTCACGTCTCTCACACTCAGATTTGTTGAGAAGCTTTGGCAACTCAGTGTCGTGACTTTCTGGTGCAGGTTGCAGCCGGAAGTGTTGCTTCCGCAGGTGCTTCTTCTTCAGCCGCAGAGGCGAATGTTTGTTACATTCTGTTTCGAAGCTGTTCAGAAATTCAGCAAGCGCAAGTAGAGCTTTCATGGGTGAAAGACAGGGGGCATCTTGTCCTGTTCTCATCTGGAAGCTGATTGCCTCCTTCACGCAGGCTGCTGCGCGTCCTGATTGCCCTGCGGCCCAGGAGACCATGGAGGAGGCAAGCCTGGAACCTTGGGGAATGATGCAGGCACATGCAAAGCTTTATAATAGTTTGGGATGCATGGTGGCCTTAAACCGGTATTGCCCAAGTAACAGATGCTGCTTCCATTCGTTTGCGCATGCCACTCAATATGCTGCGACATTCGGCTGCAGGTCGCAGCTTCTGGATCTGGGAGGCCTGCAGGGGACTTGCCGTTCTGGCCGGCCACTGCTCCCTCCTCAGGGATAGAGGCGCATGTCACGTGTCACGACACAATTTTTTATTGTGGCCGGGGATTTAAGTCTCTCACTTCAGAGTTGTTGAGAAGCTTTGGTAACTTAAAAACCGTGATTTGCAGGCGCATGTTGCAGCGGGAAGTGTTGCTTCTGCAGATACTCCTTCGTCAGCCTCAGAGGCCATGAAAATATTGCATTTTGTCTTGAATACTTTCAGAAATGCTGTTTGTGGAAGTCGGGCTGTCACGGGCTGCAGACAGCATGTGTCATGGGTCAAGTTGATTGCCTCCCTCAATGCAGGCTGCTGCACGTCCTGATTGCCCCGAAGCTTCTGAGCCCGTGGAGGACGCACATGTCTAAGTTTGCTTTGGTATATGTATTATACTATGCAATAATGGTTTCGTGCGGAGTTGCCGAAAATTTGTCCGAAACTTTTGTAGCTGGCCTGGACGACAGGACGAAATGCTGCCTGGATACTATGCCATTTCATGGAAAGATCTCCTGACCGGCGATTTCCAGGAGCCAATGCTGGCTGACTACCTTCGTCGTGGAGATTCTTGCGTCTTTCAGGTTCATGAGCTCAATGCTAAGTGTGAACATGGAAGGCCCGTTGCAAGAGCAAGCATCGTCTGCTGCTATCCCACTGCTGGAGCACTGGAGAAGGACCACGATTTTTTCAGCTTGACCAACACTGTCAAAGCGAAGCTCGCCAGCATCCATGTCCCAACTTGCAAGCAGGAATGCTGCTCCATGCGTCCGCTGGATTTTCTCCCTGCTGCAAATGCCCAAAGACTGGAGCACGAGGTTGCACAGCTTCGTTTGGGGAAGCAGGGTCACTTTGAAGCTGCTGCAGAGCTGGGGATCATGTACAGGGTGAAGGTGCCAGTGGTACCAGTGTCATCGCTGCCCTATTGGCAATTTTTCCAGGACGGAAAGGGTCAAAATTTTGGGTTTCCACCCTCTGCTGGGAGCAAGCCGCGGTCAGAACATATCGAGCAAGGAACAGATCTCGACAGGACCTCCAAGCGCAGCAGGAAGGTGCCGCGACTACGCCCTCCTGACTTCCATGCCGCTTTCTGGATCATGGCATGGTTGCAGGAGCGGCTGAGGCACCTGTACGAGGAGCGCTTCGGAAAAAAGCCTCAAGGCGGCAATCACGCCAGGTGCGTGAATTACAGAAGCTTTGCCAGGGAGTACGCCATGACTTTCGGCCAGCCCGCGCACAAGTACCTTGAAGCCCTGACAGATGACCGCAGGTCGGTCTCGAACGTTCACGGGCTCATCTTCAGCCTGCAGCAGTACATGAAGTACATGGCCGGCAAGAACCTCTCCATGGGTCAGAGTGCATTTCAGTTCCCTGACCTTCGCTTGGAGGAAAGTGACGTAGTTCGACTCAGTGTCGAAGTGGCGCATCTGGCGTGGCATTTGTTGCCTCGCACGCCTCTGCACCTCCTCTCATGAACGGCATTGTTGCTGCGTCCAGGCAGGTGTGTCGAACGACCCGTTCTGGGAAGTCGACCGTTGCCTCTCTCGTGAACTGCTGTGTGCAAGGTTTCTTGCAGTGTTCAGGCAGTTGTGTCGAACGACCCGTTCTGGGAAGTCGACCGTTGCCTGCTACCAACCTAGAATGATGGGCCGAGAAGAAATCAAGGGTGCTGCTTGTATGGGGGATATGCAGGGAGCCGTATCACAAGCCATAGGCGCATCATTTACCAGGAATTTCCTGTGGTTGCTTACAGCCCTTGAAAGCACCAGCTGCGGCCCGTCTGCGGGAGAGCCCGTGCAGAAGGTGCATGTAGAATTCAAGAACAGATGGAAGACGGGTGCCCTTCGGGGCATCTTTGCCTTGTGAGTACTCACCTACGGCGGCCACCTGGGGCGTACGCTTCGGGATGTGCCGAGGTGGAAAATCTCACTGGTTTCCCACCTTCTTTGGAAGTGGAAAGAGCGGTGCTGGTCTCCTACCCCCTTTGAAAGCACCAGCCGCAGCAGAAGCTGGCCCATACTTGCTTTGGCATGTAGAATTCAACTATGGGTAAACGCCCGGTACAGCATTGCTTTTTGGAAAAGCACCCTATGGCTCTGTGGGGCTTTCTGAAGTGTAAGCTTCGGGGAGCACGCAGGTGGTAAAATAGTGCGTTTGCCTGCTTTGCATTTTGAAGCGCTAGGCACGCCTTCGCTGGCGGAGGCCTTGTGCAGAAGCTGGCCATTGTTGCTATTGCATGTAGAATGCTAACATGGATTTGAGGCCTGTCGACAAAAGATGGCAGTGCACGCGGATCCAGATTGCAAGTTGGCAAAAAAGAGAGACATGCTTGGGTCTTCGGCCCGTGAGATTTGAGTTTAACGACCAACGTATGAGGACACAAGCAGACACATGGCTGATGACGTTTGATTGTGTCAGAAAACAGCAGTCAGGGCCAGAGGAAAAAAATAAGTAGCCGGGCCTGGAGACCAACCACAAAAGCTAGAGTCCCAGAACCTAAAAAAGAAGAGTCGTGGAAGCCTGCAGGACACGCGGAAACCTTTGGAGGCAGGGGGGGAAGGGGGCAGGACCTGTGCCAAGAACGTGACAAGAACTTACGTGTAAAGTCGGAGCGACCAATGTAAAGGCACAGTGGTTAAATGCCCGCAACTTTAGATTACTGCCGGGTGGATTGCTTAGAAGAGCGACCAACGAGGAGACAGGACCGGGCTTCCGCGGGGCTTCTGTCTGGCATTCTACCTTGCGTTCCATTTGGCGCTCTTCAGCGGTTGAGGTCCAGCGGTGCTCACCGCGATCGGACCTTGGCGGTTGAGGGCCAGCGGTGCTCACTGCGGTGGTTGAGGGCCAGCGGTGCGCACTGCGATCGAACCCTTGCGGTTGAGGTCCAGTTGTGCGCACTGCGAACAGATCCCTGTGATGTCAACTTATGTCACCGTATTAATTGATTGTGCACCATCGTATCCAATTGATTCTTATGTTTGGTTGATCGCTTTGTGCCGCGGCTCGCCCATTGGGAAGAATAAGGGCAGCGAGGTATACCAAGCAGATTTTCCCTCATGGTTGGCCAAAGTTGGCCATATTTGCGAAAAGGATGTGGTGACATTCACACAATAACAGTGAATAAGATGTGGCCATACGTAACTTCACATTCCGGCCGCATTTTTTTGATTGTTAGGATCAAGCCGGTGCGAGCCTTTCACAACGAAGTGCGCAGCACAGTCAGGAGGCAACAGTCGGAAGCACCCCCAGGTGAGGAAACTTCCGGCCGAATGGAAGTTTGTAAACGTCACACATCACCGGGTAGAGTTTGGAGGATCAGCCATGATCTGCCTCCATGTCTGCTTTGAACCTGGTCTTTGACAGTTCGTAACAATTCTTGTTGGTGATTTGGTCACATTTTGGCCACATGGGTGACAGAAATTCTGCAAACAGCCTGCCTCCCATGCTTTTGCCGCTCCACCCTGTTGACACGTGCGCAACATCGATGTGCAAATGCATGCTTCGGAACGTCTACCTATCAGCAGATGCATGCCGTTCCATGCAGATACACATACATCACATACTTATTGAAGGAAGTTTAGAAGCTTAGCTTCTGACTAATGGAAAGTTGCAGCAAGAGTAGTGAGGCAGAAGACATACAACAGTACATACACGTCACATGCTCATTCTCTTCACCCTTGAAAAATCCATTGAACCATTGATACGAATCATGGACTAACCACTTTGAGTTTCATTGATATGAGTCCAAGATCCCTGGCGCTTTGCACCCGCCATGCGGGGGGTCCCTGCGACAGCCAGGTTCGTTTGGCCAGCCAGTGTGACACCTCTGAATCCGATGGTGTGAACCGCGTGGCCGAGAGGCGCGACCATGGCGGATTTTCGCCGCGGTTATGGGTGGAAAGATGTCGAAAGCAAATATTTTCGTAAGCCAAGTAGCGGTGCTGGTCTTGAACCATTTCACTGTTTCAACGTTTTCGAGAACCCATGAGATTCAAACGATGAATAAGACTTCCAATGATGTTGAGTCGACGGGTCATAGTGCGACAGGGGAAAATGAGCTCAAATGATCTTGAGCCCATGGGCTCAAAGTGCGGCAGGGGAAACGAAACGCCAAAGAGGGTACCATGCAGCTAGAAAAAACAAGAAGTGTATAGATGACTGTTGACAGCACGTCAGATGGCAAGAAGAAAGCAAAGTGAAACTAGTGACAGAATAATATGAACACACGAAAAGTCTACCCAGCAAGCACGGTTGGCAAGCAAGGTGCGACACAAACGCACGAACAGGTGACACCGACACCGCAGTCACCAGCACCCACCTTGACGGCCACGCAGCCATGGCAGCGACACTGCTGCAAGAATATACTTGGGAAATACCCCAAGTACACCGGCGAGCGTCGCGGACAGTGGCTCCGCGTCAGCTGCGGAAGACAAGCAAGGGCCTGGTGGCGGTGATGCGATCGCAGAACGTCCTCAATTCTGAGAATGCGAAGGAGTGGCTGCAGCAAATCGACGCTGCGCCACCAGCCCCTATAGCCTCCGTGTGGACTGAGGTCGATGCTTGGTTTGTGCAGCGGGGCCACCAGTTTGCCGTGGAAGGGGTGCGTCCCCTTGCCTCGCTGTGGGGGTCGGCAGAAGAGTTACCGCCAAATCTGGCAGTGTCCTTAGCAATGCATGGGCAGCTGGCCTTGCCAGAACAACCGGTGTTCGCAGAAGAAGAAGAATGGCGTCTGTACCCTTTGAACTTCGCTCCACCAACCCCAACGGCAGCTGCGAACCAAGCCGGGTTGCACAAGTCCGTGCCTCACTGGAACAAAGGCTGGAAGATCGAATATCACGGATCGAGCCTATACGGGATCAGCAGCGCCATCTCGGTGGGCGAGGTGTTCCCCAGTGAGCCCGACACTGCGGCCCATCGCTCTGCTTGTGGAAGAGGCGCCTATTCCACAGGTTCGTTGAAGATGGCAGCTCGATATGCGATCACTCACTATTTTCACGACCCGCTTGCGCCAATGCATCCTTGGGTCGTGAAGATGGTGCTGTTGATTGGCATTCCCAGCGACGGGGGTGACTTGCCGGTGGCAGCATGGGAGCAACAAGACAGAAGTGGCCTCTCGAAGTCCGAGAAGAAGAGAACCCCCGCCTTCAAGCTCACCGAGGACGACGACAGGCTCAGCAAGCGCCAGATGCGTTCAGAACAAGAAGGACGTGCTCGTGAGAAGGACTGGACCACGGAGGCTTTGGACTACAGTCAATCCACAAGCTCTAGGGGGTACCCTCTGGGGATTTGTGTTGGGGCCATGAAACCAAAGGTGGCGAAAAAATACGCCCAGGAAGGAAAAGTGCCCATGATGACTGCGAAGTGGCACCTTGAGGCGGAATTGCCTTGGGCGCGGCCATTATGTTGAGTCTGAAACGGGTGAGATCCACAGTGGCTGCTTTGGCCTGTCTATGTGGTGGGATGGGTTTGGTCGCCACGCTCCCTGGGGCGTACGCCTCGGGGCGCTGGGTGGCCAATGAGAAGCGATCCTTCTGCAAGTGGAGCTCAACCTTCAAGGGGTGATGTGCAAAGTGGTTGCTTGGTGCTGGCTTCAGCTTTTGCAAGCGTATGACAACTGCTCCTTGCAACCCGTTCTGGTGGCTATGGTGGCTATGTGCTGGGATGGGTTTGGCCCCGAACCTTCCTAGGGCGTACGCCTTGGGGGGGGGCGGGTGGCGAAAGAGAATGCTGTTTTCTGCAGACAGTGCGGAAACACTCTCCATGCTTTACCGAACTACCGAACTACCGAACTGCCGGGACAGGCCAGAAGTGGCCATGTGTGGAACAAAAAGAGGGGCGGTGTGGCCGGGCAGCGATGCGTTGAGCCCAATGCAGAAGCAAAGCTGCACGGCATAGGTGACAGAGAGGGAAGTATTCATTCTACAACATGTGGGACATGTCCAAACACATTCGTATTGGAATGCTTTCTTTCATTGGTGTTGGGGATTTGCAATGTGTTGTCGCCAACATGTGGAATTTGCATCTTCATCTTGCTGAGGTTGTAGAGGTTAAGACACAAAGTATGGTATAATGACTAGCAGTACCTGATCTAGGCGAAGTCATTGACGGGGCTCCATGCGACCTACATGCAGTAGCGTAAACCTGTTTGCCGACAGGTACGGTTCTGGAGCTTCCTCCAGATTGTGAAGCAGTTGCAGCAGATCTTCCTTGAGTTCCAGGCTTGGTGGCCGAGAAGGGGAGGTTCAGGTGGCACTCGGAAAGCGCAGCAGCACGTACAGTCGGCGATCTAGGCCATCATTAGCCTAAAAAACAAGAGTCAATTGGTTTTGCTTGGAATCACATTTTGCTTTCGACCGGACCGGCAGGTTTGGCCCCCATCCCTGGGGCGTACGCCTCGGGGGGCCGGTGGCTAATGAGAAGCGTGTTTTCTGCAAATAGTGCTGAAACACCCTCCACGCTTCACGGAACTGCAGGGAAAGGCTGGAAGTGAAAGAGCCTTCCTTGTGACTATAAAATGTCCGTCCAACCTTGCAGGCTCTGAAGCCCCACAACGTGGGTCATAATCAAAATTATGATCCCTGGAAAAATCCCAAACTTTTCCCAGGTTTGCTCGTCCACTGGTACCAAATACATTCCAGCAAACCAGACCGAAAACGCAGCAAGAATCCCCCTTTGCCCTATAAAGCAAATGATGGAAATTCAAGTCAATATTTCAACTTTATTTCTCCCCTTTGCCCTACAAAACAAAGCATAGAATTTTGCCATGTGCTGAGCAAAACGAGGGGCAGTGTGGCGCCGTACTGCATCAGCGAAAACACATGAACATTTGACTTGGCATATCCTCTTCGATTGGCATTTGAGGCGTGCACGGTGTTTTGACCAGCTTGTGCATTATGCATCTTGATTTTGCTGAGGCTGCGCAAGTTGAGACACAAACCGTGGCAGAATAAACATGAATAAACAGTAGGTTTGCTCAAAAGCCTTTCCAATGGAAATGGATGAAAGTGTGTTGTTACTTGTTGAAACACATCAAGTGGTTTCAATTTGGATATGTCTGAGATCCGGTCTGTGGTGCGAGGTTTTAGACGTGATACATGAGGTGATAATACGCAGTATGTGAAACGAAAGTATATCAGCTGAAGAGCAAAAATAGCAGAAGAGCCGAATAGCATCCAGGACAGTGCGTGACCAAACCATATAATTCTAGTTTTGGTTACATATGCACATATATACATATAGACACAGATATGTTTAGATATGTACCTGGACTTTCCCTAGCGCGTGAAACGTGAAACAAAAAACAATGCGTGGGCGAAGCGCGGGGCCAACTTCAACGAATGGCAAAAGGCAAAACAGAGAAACCAGGCAAGGAACATGAGACAAGAAAAGGAGACCGCAAGCATCAGGACAAGAAGAAAGGGAAGCAAAAGGCAAGGGGAGCATACAGATCAGAAAAGGCAGGCCAAACGCAGAGGAGGCAACCAAGGGACACATAGAGGGCATGGAGCAGGAGTACAGCCTGAGACGCAGACGAACCAGGAAGCCACGACGGGCCGCAGGAAGGAGGAGGAGCAACATATGAGATGATATAAAGCAATATGAAATGAAGCGGGGGGGGAAGGGGGGGGGGAGGTCGTAAAAATCCGCGCGAAGAGGAAAAACTAAGAACACAACAACAACAGTAACAGGAACATCCACAAAACACGCCGGCAAGCCGGCGGATTTGCACCTTATATCCAGAAGACCATGGAGTGGGCCTAAGGGAAAAAAACATTGGGCAGATTAATTGCGCCAGGAAGCGGCCCCCTCACACGGCCAGCTGTGTGGAACAGGCATTGGTGTAAGACGAGGTGCTTCCATGTGGATCAAGCGCGGGGTGCCTCTGTGGTCAGTGAGTCTATGAGCTCTTTGCCTTGTGCTTTTTGAAGTTACTATGTCTTCTTCATGAATGTAATGAAGCGGGCAGAGAATCTATCATGATCCTCCTGGCAATGCCATGCCGCAGCAGCTCGGTACTAGACCGTATACCGAACCAGTAAATGCGCAGGGTATATCCGGCAAGATACCATACCAGGTAACATTACGCTAAGATATCCTACATGGAATCAAAAATTTGGGTACTGCATGCACAGCCCCCTCGACCTGTACTGTGCATGTCAACCTGGACGCAGGCGTCAACGGGGAGTTCAGTACCTTAACCTGCACATGATCCAGCATCACTGTGTTTCTTTCTCCCGCCCGCCCCACCCGCCCAGATATGGCGTGGCAGAGCCATCTAAAGGGGTTTCCTTTCCGGGCATCTGGCGCGCAGTATTCCTGCGTTGGGCTGGTAGTTTTCTTTTGGCGCGTGGTGGCTTCTGCCCGTCCTGGGTGGTTTTCTTTTGTGGTTGTGGCTGGTGTTTGTTGTTTGGTGCTCTGGGGCCCCTCGGGGCTTCGGCCTGCCCTGGGCTGTCTCCGTTCCTTCTGGCGGTTGTTTGTCTTTTGGCGCTCTGGGGCTTGTGCCCACCGAGGTGTTTTTCTCTTCTTCTTTTTAGCTATACGTTTGGCGTGTGTTCTCTTGCCGCTCCGTGCGGCTTCTGCTCACGGTTGGTTTACATGTCAGATAGACTGCCGGACTAGATGCCAGATAGAATGTCCGATAGAATGTCAGAATATACGTCAGATAAGATGTGAGAAAGAATGTCAAAATGACGAATTTGTAATATCTAGATAGAATGTCACTTGGTGAGGATCACTCGAAGAAAGTAATTTCAGCAGTCTTGGGTAGTATGCAACGCAAGGGGCGGGTTAATCGTCGAACTTGTTGTTTTACTCTCGGTTCCGCTACATTGGTGGCTGGCATATATTCCACCACGGCCTGAGATACCAATCTCTTACCGGGTAGCATCTGAATCATGTTTGAAAGGTTCTTGAAGTTTTCCATGTTTGGCAGGTTCAAATTGCAAGAAATTGGAATGGCATCACTTAAAAAGATTTTCCGGTTTCCTGATGAGGGTTGGTCTTAGGTTGTGAAGCAGATGGCTTACAGTGTAAAGCAACAATCGCGAGAACAGACGGGGTGTGGTGGCAAAACGTGTCGGCAGGCCCAGCTATGCCTCCTAAACGAAGAGTTTCTGACTTAGGCGCGACGCAGAACGCCATGGGTGATGGTTTAGTTTTGGGCGCAAGCAATATTAGAATTCGAATGTGAGCCGCATGGTTTTGCCGTGCAAGCTATGATTTGTTTGTTCGCTCTGATCGGACAAGTGCGTTCAGTCAGTCTGGTGTTTCTTTCCTCGCGTTTCATGTATTTTGGTTTGGGAAAAAAGCAGAGTTACTTAAACAGAAACAGTCAGTGCACATGGGCGCAGGTGGTGGCCCCATGATTTGCAGTCCGCCGACATCAGCCGCGCACCTGCTGACCTGCTGACTTGGATGAACCAGATTATATATTTGCAAAACCCTTCGCAAGAAGCAAACTCGATAGAAAGGTTGTGAAGATTTTGCCGCTTGAAATGGCTAAACATTTGTCATTGGGAATGATCAGCAAATAGATATACATATGGATCCGTAGATAGAGATTTGCAATCTTGTGGAGCCGAGAAACAAGGCCGCTTTAGATGGCTCAGCCTCCAAACCTTTTGACGCAGGCCAGGTCACAGGAACCAAAAACATTTGCAGCCTTGGAGCTTTGACTTGTTAGTTTTGATTTCAGATTTAATTTTTCATGTGAGGTTCAGGTCTTGGCTGGCCGTATGGGTTTGAGAATCTGTCCCCGGCCTCGAAGATTCCAAGGAATATGGGACCAGATGATGCTGACCGCCATGTTTAGGACACTGATGGAGAATGTCTTCATGAGCCGGGCCCCTGGTTCAATTGCATGTTCAGGCGCTGAGCTAGATATCAATTTGAACGTTTCATGTGACCTGTTCCTTTTTCAAGCAGGGTAACTTCAGTTTGTTGCGAAGCATTTCCCTCAAGGGAGGAAAGGGGCGCCGGTGACAGTGAGTGCCAATCCAGCGTCGAGAGCAGGCGTGGTTGTTGTGTTCTGCTTGCCGCCATGAACCAGAATCTACCCAGAGAGTGGGCATGATTTGAGAACGCAGTGGGGCGAAAGGAAACCAAGCTTCGCGGACACCGGAATTGAAATACCTGCAACAGACATGTGGGTTGAAGAGCAGTTCAGTTTCTACCCGCAAACCTTCGCTTGCGTTGCTACAGGAAGACATGTTCATAATTGAAATTCCCTGCCGGCCTTGTGGCGTATCGAGTTGATTCAAAGTGTTCGCTGTCCGTCCCTTCTAGTTTGCGCAGGCCATGACGATGAGGAAGAGGATGTTTGAAGAGCCAGCGGAGATGACATTCTTCTTGGCACTGCTGCCAGAGGAACTCTGTCAGCGGACATGTTTAAAACCCCTTTCCACCAAAAAATGCACCAGCATAGACCCCAAACAGCACCAATCCATGCTTCCAAGAAGGTCATGTGCAAGTCAATAGTCACTGATCATTTCAATTGTTACTTACCTTCATTCATTGCTCATGTCGAAATTCATTGGTCAGAGATGAAATCGAAAAAGGAACACAAGAAGCCTGAGTAGAAACGGAACCATGCAATCGTGGCGGAACAAAACCGTTTTCCTGAGAAAATGAAAAGAAGGGAGAAGAAGGGACATAAGCACCG